TGCATTGTAATGCAAGTTCGGTCGTGAAATCGAGGATGCCTGTAGTTCCTGTGATTCCTTGCAGACGTTTGAGCTCGAATGTTTTTTGGGAGAGACATCACTCAGTGACTTTCGAGCTCTCAGATTTCACAGCGCTAGCGTGAATGTGTTGAATGAGCCGATCGTTATCTTCGTCGACATTATAAGGAACGTCATCTTCCCAACAGCCGACTGATGAACTAAATAAGTCCGACTTCACTATGGCTTTGAAACTTCGTTTTTCGAATTAGGCGGCTTTCCTCCTTTCTGCTAAAGATAAAACTCTGGACGAAGGAGACGTTGGTCCAATCTTGTCTTGGATTTTGGGATAACATCCACATCGACTAGGCAAAACCTTCGGTTTGCTACGATGTGGTCTATTTCGTTGTGGTACTCTCCATTACGAGACTCACGCTTTCAGCGTTGAGAGTAGGGCTTCTGGAATTGCGAGTTACCACGAATGATTTTGATCGTCATGATAAACTCTGGCAGCTGCGCACCCTGCTCGTTCCATTCTAATCCGTGGACCTCAATGTGACGTTTTTCTGGGTCCAGTTTGAGCGGTGAAATCTTCACTGATAACCTTGAACAATGTATAGTCCTCTCTGCAAAACTTCTCCATGTCCACATGGAACGTTTCGACTTCGTCTTGGTCATAGCTTGATGTCGGTGCATATACGACGAAGGTTATCACAGCTCTTGTTGATTCACATCTCTTTAACCGTAATCGTCCTGTTCGGGATGTTAGTTGTTCGAATGAATCAATGTTCATGGCTAAACTCGTGTTTACGAGAACTCCGACGCCGCCGCCTCCTCTGACAGCGTTGAATGGGTGGCATTTTCTTGTCCTAGCCGGATCGATGACGTCGTACCTTATCCTTCTTGCTTGCATGATCAACTCTTCTATCGACGGCTCAGATGCAAGTGTGTATGTATTGTAGGTGCATTCATTGCCACCTATTCAACGCTGTCTGTGATACCAAAGAACAACTGGTCCTCGGAACATGCGACAGCAGAGGAGGCGGCGGCGTCGGTGTTCTCATAAACACAGGTTTGAACATGAACATTCATTCGAATAGCTAACATCCCGAATAGGACAATTCCGTTTGAAGAGATGTGAATCAACACCAGCTGTGATAACCTTCGTTATGTATGCACCGACATCAAGCTATGACGAAGACGAAGTCGAAACGTTCTATGTGAACATGGAGAATTTTTCCAGAAAGGACTATACATTGTTCATGGTTATCAGTGAAGATTTCACCGCTGAAACTGAACCCAGAAGAACGTCACATTGAGGTCCACGGATTAGAATGAAACGAGCAATGTGCGCGGCTGCCGGAGTTTATCATGACGATCAAAACCATTCGTGGTAACTCGCAATTCCAGAACCCTCACTCTCAACGCTGAAAGCGTGATTCTCGTAATGGAGAGTACCACAACGAGATAGAACACATCATAGCAAACCAACGTCTCCTTCGTCCAGAGTTTCCTTTTTAGCAGGAAGGAGAAAAAGCCGCTTAATTCGAGAAACGCAGTTTTAAAACCACAATGAACTAAAATTTATTCGGTTTATTAGTCAGTTGTTGGGAAGATGACGTTGCTTATAACATCGACCAAGATTGCGAACGGCTCATTCAACACCTTAATTCAATGAGATATATTTGGCATGGATGCGATTTATTGTATTATTCTAATTGCATTTCAAGAATCTGCACAGGATTTTCCTAATAACGGTGAAAATAGTGGAATTTTTGTGCCCTGCATTGTAAATTCATGGTGTCTGTACTTTTTCTGCAGTCGGTGTGAAATTAGGCGTTGCCCCATTTAGCAGCCTCGCAAATTTAGGTAAGGAGTGTTATGTGTTGGTGAACATGATAAACGTCGATAAGGAGAAATTATGAAGGTGAAAGAGAGCAGCGTTGGGAGCACTGACGGTTCTTAGAGCAGTAGTCGATCATGACGGGCCCTATAAGTAGGAATACTCCTTTTTGTTCTGACGGTTCACCTGACGCTCACCTATGGTGCAGCCGAGACCTTAGTTGACATTTCAACCACTTCGGAGGATTACTAAGTATAATAAAATTCCATCTCGACTTCTTTTTGCTGGTTTATTTAATGATGCAATTACTTACCTTTTTATGTTTTATGTTTTAGGGCGCATGTGGGGTACTGGTTGGAGGAGCCACTGCGACACAGACGTGGAATCGATCCCTGCACCCATAGCCCACCAAGCCTTCCATCCCTCCGGGGTCGGCAAATTGGCACCAGACTTGTCTGGGAGGATAGCAGCACTGGTTCTATACATCCATAGCCACCGCGAGTCATTGTAAAGGCCAGATGTGCATTCAATCACTTTCAACGATGCTTAATGAAGTCGAATGCATGGCGCATCCCTCAAAGATTGATCAACGCCGAGAGCTTTATTTTTTTTATCCTTTACGTTTTATGTCTATATTTCTTAGACTTTTACCCATGTGTTTGTCAAATAAACGATTTTTAACATAGAGCTTTCTTCTCTTTCTTTTCAACCTATCAATTTTTATACTTTATCTCATTGATAGGCTAACCCGAGGTTGACAAAGATGTTTATTCGGCTAACGTTTCGACGTGTTCGTTTTGTTCAGAGCCGATGGAACCGACGATTCGAGTCGATCGTCCACAGTTTTTCGTCATCCCGGTCTGGTGTATTCGTCGTCAGATCGAATCCGATCTTCTTCAGTGGAGAGTGGCTCAAATAAGGCGAGCTCACCCGGCGATGTTGTTTTGTACAAGAGGTTGTTGGTGATATGATTGTCCGGTGATAATAATCTATTCTTTTTCGGGCAGTTCATACTGCAGCAGTCGGTACTAGATATGCATGCATGTCACGAAGTAATGTCAAAACCAGTTATTATCGTTGGAAGATCAAATCAACAACAGCCGCCTTGTGTAAAAGGGCATCGCCAAGTGAGGTTGTCTCATTCGAAAGACGCTCCTCTGAAGAAGATCCGACTCTATAGGACGACAAAGACGCCACATCGAGAATACGAAGGTGTGGGACATCAACTCGGGCCATCGGCTCTGAGGAAAACGAAGACGTCGAAACGCTAGCCGAATGAGTGAACAAGCTCGTATTAGCTTATTAAAGAAATAAGATGCATTGATCACTATGCGCGTTTAGGACACACAGACGTGACGTAGAAGATTTCGAGGTAAATGTCGCTATCCTCAAGTAGGAATTTAAAACATTTTCATACAGAACTCTTGAACGGATCATAATAATTTTTGAAGGCTCGAAAATAAACTTCAAGGAAGAGTACCTAGTGATTTCGCGTGATTTCTCACCTTACTTCAGGCCGATTTCCTCACCCGAATCAGGCACATTCGTCATCCATATAAGACTCTGTGCGGCTGATCCCCACCAATTAACTGAAAGACTTATAAAGCACAAAACCGTGAGTTGCAACCACAATGATGCTGAGATATTTGCGAAGCTCCGGATCGCAGGTGTCTGTGGTGGGATAGAACCCACTATTACCCTTTCCGAGGAGAATGCTTTGGTGTCAACGGCGAGTGTTTAGAAAGAAGCTGTTTTTCTTGCGACTGAAATTTATGTAGCGAACTTGTTCTGCTAAGGTTATAAAAGTGTTTGCTTGACTAAATTGGATGTCAATATGACCCTTCTAGGCTCTGAAGAAGTAGGAACAGAAGAGACGTCAGTCTCTGTAGAAGCAATATTGTTTTAACGACCATCTGTCTGCTTATCATGGAAACATAGAATTATTCTTCGCAGTTTTAGCATCGCTGCTATGAATATATTAAGACCTTAATGCGTTCTCTACGGTGAATATGAAATCATTTATTAGACCGGCCGAATAAATGATGTGCATCGGAAGGGTTCCACTGTGTCAGCTATAAAACGCCTTCTTACATACGGTAATCGACACCTTCGCAATTTTCCTTCTTTCCTCTTCTGTTTTCTAGTGAATTTCATAGCCAACAAAGGTATAAGAGGGGCGTATGTGGCTTAGTGGTCGGAGGCGCCCTGCGCATGCGTGGAATCGATCCCTATGCCCATGGCCCACTAAGCCTTCCATCCCTCCAGGGTCGGAAAATTGGTACCAGACTGGTTTGGATGAATAACAGCACTGGGTCGATACATCGGTAGGCCACCATGAGCCATTGTAAAGGTCAGATATACATTCAGTCATCTCCTCCGAACGATGTTTAATGAAGTCGAATGCATGGCGTATCTGTCAAAGATTGATCAACACCCAGAGCTTTATCATTTTTTTAAATAAAGATATAAAAGCACTGCGGAAAAACATTCCCTCTATGGGCAGTGAAATTTTTTATGGCGATTGTAGAGCGCATTTAAAGAACGGAGACAATTCTGAAAGGAGACTCAGTCGTTGCACGATATACCCACTCAATCAAGTAGAAACTGATTTCGGTCAGATACTGGGTAACAGGTTGTGTGAGAACCTCACGTTGTAAAAAATTTTTTTTATTATTTTATCTTATTTTATTTGATCCGTCTTGACGTCTAAAGTGCTGATCCCAGCACTTCTCCGCGAAGGTCCTTAGAGTTTTACTAGTGGCTTCGGTTGCTGGCTGAGGATTTTCATTTCATTTTGAATGTCGTGGAATGCTGGTCGAGTAATCTTGCTAGAGTCCTGAGATAGCCAGGCTGGAGCGTTCCCAATTGGATTACAGAGATTGCTTTTCTCCAGACAAGTCCGGTATCAATTTTCCAACTCCGCAAGGATGGGAGGCTTGGTGAGCCCGGTGTGGAATCGAACTAGCACCATGCTCGTGATGACGAACAACACTACCGCTGTGCTATCCACCCCCTTTAAAGATATTCTTTACGAAGATATGTTTTTTTTGTAACACGAAGTATTTTACGAAGTGATTTTTTAACTGACTGGTGGGATAATGGAGATTTTAATACGAAACTCAGAAGAAACACAACATATTTGCTTCTTGTTCAGACTTCAATGTGTCTTCTTTCGCCGATTTTTATACTCCAAACACTCGTAGCGGTTATATCCCAGGTCAACCAGAGAGGTGAGAACTAACACTGAATTGTTGTCACTGCATTCAGAAGACAATCACTCGATGATTTTTAGACGTGGTGGGTGTGATCACTGACATGTCAGGATTGTCAAGAGAAGACTTGAAAGTATTTCCAGTTGTGGAATTTTCAAATCGATCATATGATGTTGCGAAGGTAAGAAACATTGTTTCGGCGAGGAAAAATATCACATGGTAATTCAAAAGAACCAGTTATAGGAATTCCCCATTGTTTTTCCTTCACTACAATAGTGAAGCCTTCTGTTGCTTTCTAAGTAGAAGAGTAGGAGGTTTATACAATCACACAATCCATACCATCTGATCCGTCATGGGCCTAGCCTTACCCAATAATGTCCACCTTCGTCTCCGTCGTGGCTAATCTTTCCAGCAGGTTTTCTTTCACGTTAGGGACACGAACAGCATCAAAAGAAGCTATCCGTATTCCTTTTGATTGTTGGTGGCGAAACAATACGCATCAGTTGTTTTGCGCATCCGTCATGGAGCGTGCATTGGATGGTAGATGGTATTCAACACTAGTCTGAAAACCAATAGAGATTATGAGCAACGATGTGAAATATAACCACAATGGTCCTAAGTTGTATGCAGAACCCCGCACCGCAGACGTACGTGGTGGGATCGAACCCGCTAGTACCCTTTCCAAAGGCTAACATGTTTACCACCACACCATGCAGGTCCTTCGCTTGCCTTTTCTCTCAGACGTGTTTTAATCCATGGATGCCGTCAGCAATCACCCGTCAACCGGATTGTTCTAGAGAGCACAGATCGGTATTCAACCTAGTTAATAATAATGAATATTTAACGTCATACCCTGCCGTTAAAAAAAAGAATAGGCATTAAATAAAAAGTAACTGAATTATGGGGAGCCTTTAGCAAGAACCTATCATACATCTAGGCTCTATACCTGTTCAATAATAACCGAATGGTTCAGCAGAAGGCTGACAGGTTCTACAGTGCTTTCCACAATCTCAACAAAGGAGCGAAGGACTTTATGGCAAAAGTAGGAGCAATTTAATAAATTTTATCACGAAGGCTGAAGTATCTGAAAGCGTTGCAGCTTTTCAATCAAGGTGTTCGGGTAGCAAAAGGAGAAGTACACAACAATATCGCAAGACAGGAGTAAGGAGGATTTATGACATTCTCTCAACGTTTGCGATTCATTCTGCCTCACCTAATTTCAGGTTCGATGCCGCCATGCGTGAAATGGCAGCAAATGACTGTACCAATCTAGCACTCAGCTTTCCACAGTTGAAGCCATTTAGTGGGTTTTAGTTAGTCCAAAGGCATAACTTTAATACTTTACATAGTAATGTCTTATAACCTTAACAACTTTCAGCAGTTTGTTCGTTGAAATGAGGTGAGACAGCCAGCCAACAATAACAGCATGAAGGTTCTCTCGAACAATCGTATGAAATAATTGAGTCTACGAACCTCAGTTCGATTGATACGATTGACATACTTTTTGAGATGTGCTAAACCACCCACAAGTCGAAATAAAGGCTTAGTTTCATCTGTCTCTCAGCTAGTCCTATCGATCAGCAATCACTCGTCATTTGGATTGATCTGGAAAGCTCAAATCGCAACGAACCCTGTTAGGCTGAGGCTGCAGTTGAAATAACAATGTTAAGTAACTCCCACGTCCGACTTTCTATTAACCTCAGCATTGACTGAATAATTCTTTCTACTTGTGTTCAGCAAACACAAGGTGTTATTTTATTTCTTTATTTACGTACAAGCTGACGTTTCGGCGGATTTCGTCTTCCTCAGAGTCTGGAAAGGTCATGTTAACAGCAATCTATTCGGCCAAACACCTCCATAACCAAACAAAGAAAACGCTAAACCACGATCACATTGAACACAGAATAGCTTTTTTGCACACTCACCGCTCTCTGCGAGGCTTCCACTGAGTATGTCGCGTGGAGACCAACCGCACAGAGTTCACATGGAAGCGTAATGTGTTCCTCCCATCAGAATAATAGGTTTATATACTGTCCAATATTAAGTGTGATAATAAGGCATTCTTCCCTGCAGTTCATTTTCGGATTTCTGGAATTAATCCAGAACGCCTCGAGAGTTTTGCGCGCTTGTGTTCTCGATTCCTGTGAGAGGATCGTGACACGTACTTCAAAGTCCACCCCGTTATGTCTCTGGGTCCTATGCGTGCCTAGTGGGGTATTTGGTTTACGACTAGGTGTTCCTCTATGCAGACACAGAGGGGTCTGCCTGTTTCGCCAATGTATTCGTCTCCGCACACCTTACAGGAGATCAGATAAACTATACCCGAGCTCATGCAATCACCGTCTTTACCATTGGGGCAAATCATGCAATCCTCGAAGTGTTCTGGATTAATTTCAGAAATCCGAAAATGAAGTGCAGGAATAATGCCTCATTATCACGCGTGATGATACTGGGCATTATATAAGCCTGTTATTCTGATGGTAGGGGCATATTACGCTTCCATGTGAATTCTGTGCGGTTGGACTTCATGCGACATACTCAGTGACTCATAGAAAGCGGTGAGTGTGCAGAGCTGTGTTAAATCTGATTGAAATCTTGGTTTAGCGTTTTCTGTTTGGTTATGGAGGTGTTTAGTCGAATAGATTGCGGTCAACATGGCCTTTTCAGACTCTGAGGAAGGCAAAATCCACCGAAACGTCTGTTTGTACGTAAATAAAGAAATAAGATAACAGCTCGTGTTTGCTGAACAGAAGTAGAAACAATGTTAAGTTTTTATTTACTGTTTATTGCAATTACAGAGGGACAGACAGAGCGAAGGACCCGCATGGCGTGGTGGTGAACGCGTCAACCCCCGGAAAGGGTAGCGTATTCCTTCCCCACCGCAGACACCTGCGGTCCGGAGATTTGCAAATATCTCAGCATCATTGTCGTTCTATCACACGTAATATTCTGCAGTGGAAGATTGCAATAGGCAGTACATAAAAAGCTGTTGTTGTATAAAAGTTGCTGTTTTTGTATAACGTTGTATAGGCTTAGTTTCATTTTTCTTTCTTCATTAATGCGGTATACTTTCCAAAAAGACTTGACGCTTCCATGTGCAGAGTTTAGCGATTACTACGCCACTGAGATCATTTACTCGATCAGTTGCTTGCTTGGATGCTTGCGCAGTTACTACTTGCGAACACTTCTTGGTTGCTTGATTGCCCACAGCTGCTAGTATGGTTAAGGAATAAAAAGCACAAAGCTCTCGGCGTTGATCAATCCCTGAGGGATGGCCAAGCGTTCGACTTCATTAAGCATCGTTTAAAGATGATTGAATGCATATCTGGCATTTACGATGATTGGCGGTGGCCTGCCGATGTATCGAGCCAGTGTTTCCGACCCGGGAAGGATGGAAGACTTAGTAGGCTATGGGCACGGGAATCAAAATTCCATGCATGTGTTGCGGGGCGCCTCCGACTTCTGCGCCACACGCGCCCTACAACTGCTAATAATGTATAAATAAACCATTAGATCATCTACAGATCCCATAATGCCTGAAATATAGTCTTTTTGCTAGGTCCTCCTTAGTATCATAATTACACATATGATAAACTCTTAAAAACCGATCCGCATTTAGCTCTAGCTCTCCAAGGTTAATCCATACTTCCTTAGACTATTGATCTGAGACGTCTTCGCCTTTTCGAAGTCGCATTGTTTCGATTCAATGGTACACAGTTGGTCTTTGCTGCGATGTGGGTCTTAGTTGTAGCATCGTGCGAAGTTTTTCATGTCAAGAATTTGTCGGCTTGTGTTTTAACCATTAAAGTAGACGTTATTGAGTACCTTAGACGTTAATGTAAGTCTCTCCAATTCATTTCTCGTTCCTCCAGATCTGGATGCCTGTTGTCGCATCGAGTTAAATCGGCTGGAGTGCCGCTCGAATGAAGGATCCTTTCTCGACGGTGCCTTTTTACAGATGATGGATGTTTACTTATCCCCGCTATTGTGTATGACCTCCTTTTCCAGCAGCAATGCGTCTTGTAGCTGTCAGTATCTTATTATCTGGGACATAGCACAGCAGTAATTTAAACGCCACCTTTCATTAAATCTCGGCATGGATAATCAATACTTTCATAGATTATTGAGCTGACACGAGGTTCGCAAGCCGCGTAGATGAACGACTGTGGGCTATCGACTTGGGTCAAGGTGGCGCTTAAGATGATGAAGACTTGAAGCGTTAACTGAATAAATATTTTTTTTACCGTCCTCGTACCAGCTCAGTAATCTAAGAAAGTATCATCGACTTTGTAATCTCGGGTTCAGTTGGGTTGAGTTCAGCAATTCTTTTATCCGAATTTCTTTTTCAGGAAGTTCAGTAATCTTTAAAGTTCTATGAACTAGCCGACTACAGTGTGTATCAACCACAACGGTGACGAAATATTTTCAAAACTCAGATACCAGAGCAGATTCGAACCTGTAGTTGTCCTTTGCGGAAGCTCACTTGTTAACCATTGCACCACTGAAGTTCTCGCTTTGCGTTTCTCTCAGCCAGTTTCTGACCTAAGCGTGCCATCAACAATCGGCCGTCAACTCGAAAGGTATGGTGAGCGAAAATCGGCAATGCATCCAGCTAAGCTGAGGCTGTAGTCGAAATCACAATGTCTAATTTTTTACTTGCTTCCAATTCCCGTTAACGGTGACTGCTGCTTGCACCGTTAGGTTAAAAAATTGCCTGAGAGAAAGGCCATGCGAGCACTTTAGTGGTGCGGTGTGTAAAACGTGAGCCTCCAGAAAAGGTTATCACGACTTCAAATCTGGCCTGGGTTCTGGGTTTTGCAAATATCTCAGCATCACTGCGATTGCATTTCACATAACAACCTAACATGAAAGTAGTGATAGATAGTTAGATAAACGCATAGTATATAAAAAAGTTATAGATTGTACATGCAATCGCCTAAGCTTCTAAATTCGAGGATTGTTAGAATTAGATAGTACTTCATACTTGATACTTGAACGCCCGTCCTCACTGGTTGTGTGAGCCCCAGCATAATCACCACCTTTCGGAGTTTTGCTGGTTAAGCTATTGTGGTTCCCTGCAATCCCAAGGTCATCCTGGCCAAAGTCTGCCTCGGTCTTCACCACCACTAGCAGTGGCAGTCTTTGAGAATCAGGAGATTTGCCGACATGCTACTTTGATACTAGGACGATGGTGGATCCTGGTATTGGTTTACTCTTAACAAGGCTTCTTGATGGAAACGCCGGACTCCTTCTCAGCTTCGGAGATCCTACCGTGAAGACGAATCCCTCGACGTACATCGTAGTCCGACACCCAGGAACACTTCCCAGTCACCATGAGGAGGTAAACCGTTGGATGGAGGATTAGGTAGTGGTCACTATATAAGCGAAGATAATAAATTATAAAGCAATATAGCTAAAATTGGTACTGAATTCGTCTCCAGGCAATGTCAAAGTAAAATTCTGAAAGGCAGAATATAATTTATCTGAGATGCTTGTTATATTTATCCAAATTTACTACTGTAGGCCAGCAATCGCGAGCAATTCAGTAAAAGAAGAACGAAGTAGTGTAGAACAGAACACCTTGCGAATGTGGTGGCCTCAATATCAACAGTGTGCTTTTTTCAAAGTAAAGTGTTTTGTGGGGTACAGTGGTCGGAGGCACCCTGCGACATACACATGGGATCGATCCTCGCGTTCCTCGCTGACCAAGCCTTCAATCACTCCGGGGCCGGCAAATTGGTACTAGATTTGTCTGGGAGGATAACACTGGCTCTATACATCGGCGAGCCACCGTCAATCATTGTAAAGACCAGATATGCATTCAATAACATCCAACGATGCTTAATGAAGACGAAGGCATAGCGGATCCTTCAGGGATTGATCAACGCCGATAGCTTTATTCTTTTTATCTTTTTTAAGGTCTTCTGTTCCATTCGATCCTACTCCATGTGACACCGAACACTTACAGTTCACCAAGCGCATTTATGGTCTTGCGAAAAACATCTGTAATGATGGAAAGCGACCAAAGATCGTCATCAACGATGTATGTGAGGAAACACATCGAAGATGAGAAGCTATAGATTCCACACAATAAATGCTGCTGGTTCACATAAAAAAAACTCGTTTTTCATTACCGAATGAATGAAATTACTACATTCTTGCGGTGCTCGAATCCACTGTATCCGACTCAATAATTCAGTGACCACGAAGACCCACATAGAAAGAGGAAATAAACGCAGTCGACACTCAACTCTGATCATTCTGGCTTTGCAGATGGCAAAAGCTTCAAGCTTCAAAAGATTATTCAGCAAAAA